GTTTAGATTTTGTTTTATTTAAGTGTCTAAGTAAGAATATAACTTTTAAATTAGCTTTTCAAAAATTAATGATATCATAACAATAACTTAAATGTGAAAATGGGGCTAAGTTCAGAAGAAAGTTTAATTTCCAATTGGAGAAGTCAAATTTTATGAATGTTATTTATTGACAATTAAAACTTGCCAAGTTAGAAATCCGATATCAAAGAAAATAACAAACTGTTTTTTAAATGAGTTGAAGCACGTTGTACATTCCTACAGCTATGATTAAAGAAACTGCTATGGAACTTGCCATCCGTTAGATCTCAATTCTTTTGCCGGTGACACCGTCTACACCGAACGTCGTTTCTCCCGAACTTGGCCCCTTTTTCACATTTATGTTGTTGTTATGATATATTTATCGTGTATTTGCATTGCAAGAAAAAAGAGGGGGGCCAGTCTTATATCTCCCACTCTACTGGGCCGATTGACGAAATTCAACTTGCGTTTTTCATGTCTCGAAAGCGCGACTTAGGATATGTATTAGATTTATATATAGCTGTAGTCTAATATAGGTATTTTGACACAAAATCGGACTTCTTTAATTCTAAAATAATTACCAATTTTTTCCATATTTCAATTTTACGACTCAAAGTATGCCAAATAACCAAGTTTTGTAAAAATCGCAAGAATAGTTTTTAAAAAATTAGCTCTCAAAATTTTAGCTCCTTAATGTTAATTGAGTTTGGTATACATTTACTAATTTCTCTTTTTTTATTAAACTTATTTGATTCTTCCTTTCACATTTTGAAATTCAGGTTTATTCCAAATAAAATTCATCCATTTTTATGATTTTTTAAATTGGTATTTTTAAATAATTTTTATATTTTTTTCAAAAAAAAATTGTATTATATTCTATAAAATTTTTACCATCATTTTAAAGCAGACTAAGCATACCTGCAAAAAATTACCGTTTTTTATTCAAAATTTCAGAAGATATACGTGAATTTATATCTTGGCGCGTTTTGAAATTTAGCATATTTGTTGAAAGAGATAAAACACCATTGTGATTTAGACACTTTACTAAAATTCTTTCAAAATAGGAACGATGTGGGTTTTCTTCCGCTCATGCACAATCTAAAAATGTAGGAACGAACTGCGTTTCTTTTCGCTCCGGCATAATGGAAGGGAAAGGAAAATTGGTTGCCGTATATTAAGAAGTTCACCAAGTGAACTATTCTTCGCGCAAACTGAAAAAATTTCGCCAAGATAAATGTTTGAATTTCTCCGTAAATTTCGCACCAAATTTTACAAAATTTTATATCTAGACATAATTTGAATTGTATAATCAAAATATGGAAAAAATAGTATGTTAATTCAGAAAAAGTCAGATTTTTTGTAAAAATACCTATGTTAGAACAATGCTATATATAAATCTAATATATATCATAAGTTTTTGAGACATGAAAAACGCAATTTGAATTTTTTCAATCGGCCCAGTAGAACGGGAGATATAGATTGTCCCGTCCCCCCCCCCTCCGTAGTGTACATACCTTTAAAGACATACTACATCAGTACTTCTAAATCATCTACTATATTAGTTTATCTAAATTTGTTTTGTTTTTTTTATTACATATATGTTGTTGGGCTTATGCTCACTTGTCTGAGGTATAGTCAGGCCAAGCCCACGAAATTCCTCGTTGGCAAAGAGCGCAAGATTACGCTTGTTGTTGGCAAATTGAGCACGTTACAGGCGACAGTGCGATTTGGCTCAGTTCCGCCCCCAATTTTGATGGAGAGTCTCCCGGTGGTTGTTACATATGCATATCAGTTTTATGTCTGTCATTAATCTATCTCCTTTATGCATATCAAAACTATATATATACAATATATATCAGTTTAAAATCTACAATTGGAAAGTTTTGAATTCTTGTGGAGAATAAACAAGATTTGGCTGGAAACAAGATTTTTTTAAGCATTATAAAACTGTGATGAAAAAGGAAATTCATTTTTACTTTAGCATATGCCAGATTTTAATTTAATACTTATTTTGTATGCACAATTTTTACAATATCTGATAAAGGAAAATAGAGGTTTGTAATCTAAATCAAATGTCCCATTTATGAGGATAAATGACTTTTTGTAGCACCCATCTTCTTTTGTTGGGAAGAAAAGCAAAGTAGCGCATTTTCTAGGTTTTCTTTGTTCTGTTCAGGCTTCGCGTATAAGGTGAGGAATGGAAAAGCTGGCTATTGTTCGTTGCAGTGGAGTTGGCACTTAGATAAGGAGTTGTCATTAATTAAACTTCACACAGTTTGTAGCCAACGGTGGCTTTGAAAATGCGGTGAAGAGCAAGAGACTGACGTTAATTACCGAGGGGAAAGTAAACGGCTGTGTCAGGGATCAAAAGGGAAGACATATTTTAAAATAAAAGTGTTTTTAGGTCTCATTCAGTATCAGTATATTAGGAATATATATCGCGCGCTGGAGATAGAAATGTTTTTTTCGTACAGTGTTGCCATTGCTCGTTTTGAAATCGCTGAGTTTGTTAATCAAAAATTCATTAAATAACTTTGAGCTTTCAGATGCCGATATTCTATGGAAGATTACGTTATTCAAATTTTAATGGCTCTAGGTACCATCGTTTTATCACAAGCGAGAAACGTACATGCATTCATGCAGACTCTTCATTATTTAATTTCTTTAAATGTAATACAGGGCGATAATATTCGGTGGCAACAATTTGAAAAGTGATTCGCCTTTTATAGTTTTCAACGCAAAATGCCAAAATGAAATTGATAATCCTTCTGGGCAAATTGCCTCTTTGGACTAATAATGTATTCTTAAGAGTGATGGTCTGATGCCTAGCAGTAAGGGTTTGGAATCAAGAATATATTTCGCAGAACCATTATATTACTTGCAAGTATTTCATTAACTGATATCGTTAAATTTTGAAATTTCATATAAACTAGAAAAGGGATATAAAAATTAGGAAATATTTTATTTTTAAATAAACATTCACTCAATTTCCCGCAGTGATTTATCAGGTTAAAACTTGGGAAAAATACTTAGACAGAAAAGGATTAAATACCTATTTTAATGATAAACACTTTATACAACGAAAACGGAACTGTTGCATTAAAAAATTAGCAAACACATCAGCGTTTCTTAGAATCCCAGAAATTCGTCATCACTGTTGCTAAATCATAGTTATTTTCACTTAGGTTGCCACTGTAACTAGATTTGCCACTTTCCTAAAACACAATGTCATCCTTATATCCACCTAGTGCACTGCTAATTCCACATTTGAAAAGTCTTTTAAAAAAAATTATTGTAGGATAAAATTGGATAATAGGATAAATGTATTTTTCAGTATTAACTTCATTCTGAAGAATTTTCTGTAGTCTAGTTTGCGCTATTTTATTCATAAGTCTCAAATTAAAAACAGTTTAATGTTTATATGTCATTAGAAAATTAACCAAAAAGCAGCGACCACAATGTAATTGAAAAACAGTCCTTAGACGTGAAAATGTTAAAGGCTATTTGGGTTAAGACTATTTTCTCAGATACTCAGCTACTTCGCATACATGGAACATAGCATTCGAAATGAAAAATTCAATATTTACTACAAGTTGATTGATGTAACAAATATCTGTCTTTTTACTCCTACTTTTAAAAAAGATGTTATTTGCCTTACAGTTTATAGTTCAAAAATACATTTTCATTGTACAAAATTGCATTTATTCGAAGAATTAAATTTGTATTTTCCTCTGCATAAAAATTGAATGTAAAGAAGTTAGAGTTTAAACGACCCCCACATTTTCTCTAGACCACGAGCAACATTATCCCCTCCTTTTCAGCCCCCCGTGAAAAAAGGAGTTCTAAATTTACGACCTGACCGCATATAGGGTGATTTCGTAGCCGAAATAGCCAACAACCACAGATTGTTATCACTATTCTCCACAAGACACGGCTTCTGTCTTCAGCCCTTAACTTTCATTTTCCTTTAGCGAATGCTTATTCTTATTTAATTCATTTTTTTTATCGATGATGTGAAAGTTATTGTAATTAATTTACAAAGGTGCTTAGTAACCAAAATGCCTCGGTCCTTGGTGCAGAAGGGTTTGTTAATGTTTTTTATCCTCCCGCTTAGCTCGCAGTCTTCCAGTCCCCCTTTTTTGGGGGGGGGGTCTTTCTAGCTTTATTACTAAGCATAATTTTATTCGCAGCAAAATTGCAAAAATTTTTAAAAGAGCAATGCAGCATATAGTATTTAGAATTCCCGATGCAGCATAATATTTTTCTATTTTTTGAGTCTTTTCTCAGTTCATATCAATATTCAGTTTTCTTAGTAAGATGGCTTAAAAATTTTTTCTTTTTTTTTTAAGTATTAACATTTTGCTTATTAATTTTATTAAATATGACGTTTTTCGGACTTATCCCACATAAGTTCCTGGGTTTTCTTTGTTTCTGTTGTCTTTGTTCCTAGGTTTATACTGTTGGAAAACTTATACTTTGTGAAATTTAATTTATTCGACCTCTAAGTTACTTTTTGTTTCTTCTAGTTAAAATGTTTTAATGCATAAAACTTTGACGAGTTTTTATGACCAGTTTTGCTTATTAGAGACCGAATTTTATTTTAATTATCTTTATCAGGATGAGACCCACGTACTTTATACAAGACTAGTATAAGAATTTAAATTTCCCATATTTTGCTTAAAAGAGGTAATATATGCAAAATTATGATAATCTGAGTGTCTACCATTCGTTTCTTAAACTAGAATTCTAGGCCAACGACCAACTACTTTACAATAGTTTATAATAGTTTTAGTAATTTCCAATAGTTTACAATTTATAGTCTTAAGTGATTAACAGCTAGTTCCTTACATACAGTGATTTCTGTACACATTCTTATAAATCTAATCAATGAGCATTTAAAAGTTACTAATAAGATAACAAGCGAGAAAATGTAAGATAAGAAATTTAGTGAAAGTATGGAGAATTGCAGCATATTTTAATACCTTTGTGGCAGAGCTTCGACCAGAAGACTAGTTGCTGAAACTACTACTGAGTTTTCCTGCAGTAGTCTGTATTCTCTGGTATAAGACATCTTGGCTTCAGACGCTTTCAAAGCAGCTGGGTACCCAACCGGTAGGGTGGGCACGTTGTCTATACTCACAGGAATCGATGTTATACTTAATTCACCAGGGAATACCTCGCAAAAAGCTTCTTTGATTGCCAATACATGCGTGTCTTCACCTACCACGGTCAATATCATAGGCTTGCTGTATCCTGCATGTTAAACAAACGTTTTATAAATTTCTCCGAAATTTCTTAAAAGGAAATGCTATTTAGATTTAAAAAAAGCATATCTTTAAATGGTATTCTTTAACTAATTTCAGAGTCATTAGGTTATTTTGAAGCAGGATACATGAAAAATCAGCAATGTCCTTGCTGAGACTCGAACACTGGACATCTCGAATACGCCGTATCAAGTATGCTTTCAATTACAGAACGAAAGCATGCGGAAAGGAGGGAAAACATACTTTATATACTCTCCCTTTTAAAAAGCGACTGGTGATCAGGGGACTCAACTGCAAAATCCTGATGGGGACGAATTATCGTCCACCACCTTTTAGTTCGGAAGCCACTTGTTGAATCACTAGGTTATTTTGCAACAGGAGACGTAACAAATGTGCAGTGCCCTCGCCGGGACTCGAGCCTAGGACCTCTCGAATATGCATAGGGTATACTTTCAATTATACCAGGAAGGCATGCGGGAAAAGGGAGCAAATACCTTGTAAATACATTTTGAAATTCACAAATTAAATTGACAGCATGCGTTTTGATGTAAAAAAATAACTGATAAGCATTAGGACATAAATATAATAAGTGCTGGGAACATTATATCACACTACAATTAAATGACCACTGCAATTAACTGTACCAATAATATTAAAGAGGTGTCCACGGGGTCAAACCATTAATGCAACAAATGGAAAGTACATTTATATTTATTGTGTAGAGTCATTAGGTTATTCTTTTGAAGCCCCATGTGTTAATTGCTCACTTGGCAAAAAATCGCACTGGTGAAAGCGCATGCGGATAAAAGCCCACACTAATAAAAGCTCGTCTTCATAACAGCCCACCCTGAAAAAAGACCCGATGAAACCTATGTCATGTAGGAGAGAATAATTTTACATCATTTTTGGGTCATATAAAACAAATGCATAAAAAATGTAAGTGAAAAATAAATCAAATTAGATTAATAACTAATAATTAAATAATAAATTAAATTAACAGAATCCATTTTATTTTGGAAATTTATTGGGAATTTAGCTCTGTATATATATATGTATATATTTTTTCGTCACATGAAGGTGTAATATTGTTGCTGCCTACGGGTTCATAATGGATGGAATGCAACCAGAATCGATGATAGCTTGGTAAAATTTTTACCAAAAGAAACACTTCAAAATTCTCGACCATTCCACAAATTTACTCTTACAGCTCTTCTCAGTATCACAAAATACAATCAATAGTTATACACTTCAAACTATAAAGAGCCTTAAACACAGCGCAATGCACGCGTCTAAAAGGCGAAGCTCATACGAAGATCTCTCAATACTGAATACTCTCAACACTCATTACTGAATGCACTCAACACTCAATACTGAACTAAGCAACTGGGAATTTATGCTCTCTCCGCTCTTATATAGTTTCCTCCCGGCTGCCGCGAAATCTCTAGTACCTTCCATTCCTCGAAATTACTGGACGGCATATACAGTTAAAGTTGCATACAACAGCCAGACACTGTTACAGTTACATAAAAGATCAATTGCACTTATTCAACTACAGTATCAATTATAGTTATGCCGACCCCGGATCAAAATGTCCCAAAATGCTGCGACTTTGGGCGATTTCTCGCCAAATTAGGCAAAAAACTTAGTTACCAAAGCCATCGCCAGCTTTGCGATATCTTGCCAATTTAGCGAGATAGCCGCAATGTTAAATAGATTTGTAGCTTTATACTTATTTTCCAGCAGAGCACGGCTTTTTTAAGCTTTTTGATGTTACATTATACAAAAGCTACTACAATTTTACATATAATTTCACTAAAATTATTTACATAAGTACAAAATTCGAACAGTTATTTATGTTTTTCGGTACGAAGACCTAAAAAGAAAAGGGCAGTTTTAAGTGCGTTTTTAACCAACATTAATTATAAGTCCGCTAATCAACAATGTTTCTTCTTCTCAATGTTTTCATACATTCACTACATTAAATAACATTATGCAGAAATTAATACATACATTAAACACTGAGCCTTTTCAGTTACAAATCTCCGGAATATCCATATTAACCATACTGATGAAAATGACTGCTATTAGCTGAAAGTCAGCTTTCTGGTACATGCAGTATTGAAGAATAATCAAAGTAGCATGTGATAATTCTCTGGTTGTTAGGCAGGGAATGAAAAATTTGATGCTGTTTGATGGAGGTGATTCTAACTTACATCAAACCATAAACTTTTCGAGACCAAAGAAAGTGTTCGCGAAATGTGTAGTTTGTAATTGATAGGTTCCTAAATAAGAGATTCCACTATACAGCAGATACGGAATAAAGAGTCCAGTAGTAAATTTAGTGAAAGGACGAAGAAGAATCGAAGAATGTAAATTGATATTGAAGTGTTCACTTACGGCAGAGTACGGGAAAATTATCAGTGAAAACTGTCATGTTTGATGAAAATCACCCCTAGAGACAGAATCTGAGAGTCTCGTACTCCTCTTCCCTTACCAAGATGACATCTGGACTGACTGGATTAGAATTTAGATGAACTCTTTCCACAAAAACTTTACAGTTCAATGTTTGAAGTTAATAAAATGTCTTGTGGTATCAAAACGATGAGGAGGATTAATTAAACACGATGACTTACTTCACTGTGAATGTAATTGCTGCATACAAAATCATTTATTTTCGAGTGGTATATTCATGCATCATCACTAATGGCACCAACGGCCCGTCATATTAACCGGCATCTTTCGCAAAATCGGAGCTATCCGCAGTTTTTCTGAAACTGCGGATAGCTTAAGCCTTAAGTAACTAAGTTACAGTTATCAGTCCGTAGTTTGGGACAGGTACAATAAAGGTATCTTTTTGCACCAAATAGCAAAGAAGGGTCATGAACTTGCTTTTCATTGGAATCACGTGAAATACCTCACGAGGAACAGCACTTGGAAATATATCAGTAAAATATTGCGCGTAGGAGTAATTCTTCAAATTAGTTCTACAAAAATGCTTTCGAGGAAAAGTTTCCATTGATGTTTATTGCTGAAAATAATAGACCCTTTAAATGCTTAAAAAGTTTATTCCAGAAATCTGCCAACTTGGCCTCAATCCTTAAGCATACTTTTATGTTCTGTAGCTTAACCCTTTGTTGCATCATGTCACTCTAGTAGACAAAAGTTTAAATTTGTTTACTCTTCTGTAAATGCCAAGTTAACAGATTCCATTTCTGTGTTTATTCTTTCAATGTTATTAGAACTTTCAACTGTTGATCATAGATGGCTATATAGCATCACTAAGTAAAGCATTGCTATTTGGAAAAGGGCTGCTACTTCTGTTTCCAAGTACAATTTCTCATAGTAAACATTATATAATATTGCTTGCATTTTTTTATACTGCCATTTTTTATTCACAATTAGTAATTTTAGACATTTTATTTTAAATGTCAGTTTGAGAAAATTGTAGAATGCGTAGATAAAGATCTACCGAAACGAGTGAATTGAAACCCAAATGTACTGCTTATCAAGCCAAAACACCACTGGAAATGTTTATGTTTGGCAAGGAATTTCTAGAACATTTGACTTTTGAATCCAATAGGTACAGGTTACAAAATCGTAGCAAAATGAATTCAATCACAATCGACGAAATGAAGGTATTTTGGGGGATCTGAACATGTCAGTTGCAGATTCACCCTTTAGAAGATGGTAATGATCACTGCAAACAAGGCAGGAAATGATTTCAAATGCAATGACCGTAAATTGTTGGGAAGAGATTGTATGCATGTACGTATATGCATGCTGTCCACTGTAGTGAACAAACTGTAGCAATTATTTACGAAATTTGAATAATTTTTTAAAAATTATTACTAAGGTTATTTTAAGTAGAAAAAATACAAACATATTCGTTTAACTTCTCTAGATTATTCGTATGCAACAAAGGGTTAAGACTGCCTAACTACCACATGCTCTTATACTGTGATATTGTTTCTTAAACTGGTCTCAGCACGAACTTCATCGCGCTCTTACCAACACCTCAGGTGCCCCTTAACGGGGATTCCTCGCGTATGAGACCTTATTTGAATTGCCACTAATAGGTGAACTAGATGGGGGAGAAAAAATATAGGCCCTTGCCTATAATTACTGTGTTGCAAGAACACGGAGATAGGGTGTCTTAATATGTCCTATGTTGTAATATTTGCGTGCGAAATCCCTACATGAAACAAAAATTTCCCTTAGGACCTTTGTGAATATGAAAAGATGAGAAATAAGAAGTAACTATGCAAAAGACAGGAATCAAATGTCAAATGTGAATAGATGGGTGGCATATGGGAAGAGGCTGAAATCATCTTCTAGGAGTTCATACTTAAAGTTATCGGCAAAGTGAACTGTGTCGTTGCTGACAGCTTTCTTGAAAAAGTTATTGTTAATCTTTTCGATGTGAGTTTTGATATCTTCGATTTTAAGATCTTTGTGTAAATCCTCATTACGGAGGAACCAGGGTGCTCCCGTGGTTTTTCGCAGGAAGGTATTTTGGAATGTTTGGAGCTCAGAGTTTGGGAAATCAAACTTAGGTGCGGTACACCAGGCCGGTGAAGCATATACGAGTATGCTAACTGCACATTCTTAATTCGAATCCAATTATGGATTTGACCACTTGTATGATCAAGAGTAGCCAACAGTAATAGTAACAATAGTATCAAAATACTGTAACAACAGTACAGTAGGAATGAAGAATGGCGTGAACACAGTACTTTTTATTCATCAAATGAATTATTATTCTTTAAATTTCTGTAATGTAAAGTTATATGAGTTATGGTACATTTACGAATATAACCTGATCCTTGTATTAATTATTGTTAGCATATTTTAATTGATTGCTCTGATCTTAGCTCTCCAGAATCGTTGCATATTTTTAATAGTATTATATCTTTATCTGGGATGTTGGAGGCAAAACCCAAGTAAATATTTTTTTATATTTCTGAAAGACAAAAACGTTTTTCCTTTGTTTAACTGTTATTGTTTTTAACTGTTATTAAACAAAGTGATGCTCGATGATTTAAATTTTGCTTTACACTTTTAATTCGAATGTAATGAATTATCATATTCCGTACGTATATGTTTATATGATTTGTATTTTGGGACGATTTTTAATGTTTTCAAAGTTTTATACTTGGATTACAAATCTTGCGTCTGGCGCAGATAACCGGAAGATCATTTTGCGCCATTGATCAATAAATTAACTTATAAGTCATGAGGTAAGGTTGCTTCAAAATTTAGCCAAAACTGAAAATCAGAGTATAAGCTGAATTTAAAATCGCCTATAAATCCAGCTATATATATATTAACAAAAGTGCGAATAACTTTTCATCTAACTTCTCTAGACCTGCTGGATGGGTTGAGGAGTTCCACCTTCAACTTCCATTCGATGGTAGGCAATAGCAATGCAGAATGAAAGGCACTTTTGTCACCGATAATTTCTCTTACTTAATTCTTCTGTTTTAGGACATGGACATCATTTGACGCTTTGGCAATAACGGAACGAATTTTACTTTGGTTTAACTTGTGATAATAACTCTCAAGGGATCACAAGTGTCCCCCCTTCTGAGTTGCGCTTTCACTTCTCCAATTATAAAATACAATTCCTTGTTTCTACTGTGAAAAGTACCTGGACAAAAAAGGAGAGCCAATTCTACTAGATTTAAGGTAAAAGTTACCACTTTTGCTGAGCATTGCTATGGATGGAACTGTAAATGATATAATCAACAACCCAGATGAGGATGTAAACGGGGAAATGGAGAGTAATCTCGTTCACTCCCGCTTCCCGTGAACTCAGAGAGACTTCTGGGAACTTTTTGAAGTTTCTGAATCGCATATACACCTTGAGAAATTTCATTTATGTAAAACAGAATTAAATGAAATAATAACATTTTTAAATTATTTAATCTGTAATATAATTACAGTGATCGAATTATTCGAAAGTCATTTTGAACTTATCTAAAAGCCGACCCCCAACCTTCAATAGCAAAATTAGCAAACATACAGTAATTATAATTTCTTAAGGAACGTACCGAACAGCTGATTTACTTCAAATTCAAGAGTGTTCAGAAAAGAACTAAATGACGTCTGGAAAAAAGAAAAAAAAAAAAAGAAAGAAAGAAAAAAGAAATATGAGCTTAGCATAACTGCTGAAAAGGGTACTTTAAAAGTAAAGTAGTATGAATAAATCGTTGTGAGATAACTTACTTTTGCTCCTTCCAAAATAGTGCGAATATATTTGTTTCGACGGAACCACCTGCAGAGTTTCAAGCTATGCTTAACAACCTTGCAGATTTTCTTACTGCATGTGCTCCTGAAATAAAATTTTTAGATAATTTATTTAAGCTCCCATATTATAACAAAATATACGAGTACACACAACATGACTTCCTTAAAAGACCTAGTAAATTATACACATTTTTTGCTGCGCTTCATTTAAATTTATTTCCTCGAATTTCATTACAGACGTATATTTCTCAAGTGAGTGAGAACTGAGTGAATTCAATTCTCACTTCGCGGTACAGCAAAAATAAAAACTCAAAACATCTTCATTAAAAATTGTAAAATACAGAAAAATCTAAAACACCAAATACAATTAAAAACAGTTAAGAAAGCAATTTTTACAATTAAAATAAAGAGTTTCTACGCCAAACCAAGCCATTAGGCCAACAAGCAGGAAGACAAAAAAGCTTCGGTGCACAAAATTTAAAGTTAACCTTTGGTCCCACTGAGCGAAAAGACATTGAAGTTGGTTCAACTATTGACTTAATTCATTATGCCACTAAGAATTTCAAATGTAATCAGATAGACGACATGTTAGACACGTTAGACACTTAGCGGCTACTTATACTTTTACATGCCTATATATGTAAAAGTATAAGCATTTTATACATACCACGTTTTTGGTAATTCTACAACTACTGCATACAGATTAACTACAGGCATAAAAACCTTAATCGGAACATAAGAACAACATAATTCAATCACTTTTAAAACAAAAAATGCACAATTTGCCAACACGTAAGAGTTTAAAAAAAAAAAAAAAAAAGTTCAACCGACCCGGGTAAATATATATACACCTTTTTACCCCTGTATTTATATATACTATTACAGAAATATTTTACAAAAGAGATATCCCAAATCAATAATTTATATTTAATTTCCTTCATGTCTTTGTGGGTTTGGTTCTAAATTTATTCCTTTTTTGACTGTAATTATATGTATACACACACAAGGTGTTTCAGCAAATCGGTTACAAACTTTCAGGAGAGATAGTGTACATCTAGACGATGGAAAATCACATAGCAAATGCATTGTTGGAAACGCTTTCCTGTAGCTATAGCGACAACACGAAACACAAGAAAGGAAGGACACGAGCACGTTGAGAATTTAACACATTAGTCGAACAGTAGCAGGAATAGCCTTTGGGAGGGTGCAACTTGGCAGATTTTCTGGGGTGTGCCCAGTCATTATCCTCTTTCCTCGATAATGAGTCCGAAACATCCTTTAAAGGAGGTCCCGTCTCAACTTGTGTTTTGGGAGGATCCTGTTCATTTCCCTTTTTCTGCTTTCTGGAGTCCTTTTCCCCGCATTTTTGATAATTCGGATCCCAATCTTTATGACAGGATTCTCGGACTTGTTCAGCTAATTCAATTTCCACTTTCCGCAGATCAACATCACAATTTTTTCTTTGTGACTTCTGGTGTTGCAGGTGTTCGATAAATTTAAAGGTCAGAAAAATCTGAGCTTCTTCATCCTTATTCATCTTCTGTTTATAATAACCTAAATTTGCCAAAAAGGTCTTTCACATAAGCAAAGTTTATTGTATCTGAGTACAAATTCCGCACGTTGCGAGCAAAATGCAGGAGCATGAATACAGCGCGAACTTCACGTATGAAGGCAGACGTTCGTACCAACTTAACGTCCTAGCTCTCCGACCCGTATTTATGCTCTGCAGCACGGGCTCTGGAAACTTCTAGAAGAATCTGTCTTAGAGCTTCGAAAATGTGTTTCATAAATCTTGCATAAAATCGCCCACTTGGCAACCAAAACTATCGTCAAAGCTCGTCAACAACGAAATTGCATAAATATCGCGTTCTAATTGAGTGACTGCTGTTGCATTCAGAATTAAAAGATTTGCATTTCTAAGAAAAAAAAACACACACATAAATGCAATAAATAAACAATGAAAAACACCACAATGATGCAGAAAAATATGCAATCAGAAAAAATGCAAATATTTATATCATCGCCCCCTCCTAAAAGACTCCACGTCCTGGGCTGTTTCCCAAAAGGGCGAAACTCCACATATTCGTAACGTAACTTTCTGCACATTTTATTGGTGAAAAAAATTCTGACAAAAAAAGTCGTCCGTATGGTGAGTTATAAATGAAGGCATTCTGCATTGAAGATAAGGTGACTATTATTCGAAAAATACGGGGTACAGACAAATCGATATTTGCTGGGAACATATTTTACCATATTTATAGACGGTATAATATAGAATATCGGGATTCAATAATTTCAGCTTTGTTTCAGAAAAAATTTAGAAAAATTTTAATACGAGCTTAAGGATTTTGAAAAAAATATTGCTGAAGTGATTCATTGTTTAAAGAAACCTAATCTATCAATATCTGGGCAAATGCTTCGGGTAAAAGGCGGTGCATTTTCCAGACATTTTGGAAAGACTGTTCTTTTATGCCCAAATGGTTAGTTGGATAGGTTTAAGAAGCGGAATAGCATTTCTTCAGAGAAAATTGTTGGAGAATCAAGCAGCGTTACAAAATCAAATGTGGAGAAATAGGGGGGGAGTTGAGATGATATCTCTAGTCAGCACTAAGGAAATTTCAATAAAGCTAAATATAAGACATCGCTGACATCAAAACTCTTTGAAGAAGATTTATGAGAGTGAGTTGAAGACTTTTAACCCAAAAAGAAGCAAAAAGATTCTTCACTTTATAACAACTGTACGACACACTCAGGTGTTGAAAACTTAGAATGAGTTAAGTTTATTTCTTGCTCTCGGACGCTGATTCGAAGTCACAATTTATATTGTTACGAAATGTCAAGGCGCGGTGAGATGGCTTCCCCGCAAAGCAGTTTTAGGGTTGCCATAAAATGGCAAAGGAAAGCAATGTTGCCACATTTGGCGAGAAATCGCCCATTTGGCGACGTCTGGCGACAAAATTGGCGATATGCCATGGACGAATGGAGAACCTTCTGGAAAGAATTCGTACCGGTTTAGCCCAGAATGTTCTCGAACACCAGCCAAAAGCTATATAAACCCTGCTGGTACGCGGAGAGTAAGTAGTAGCGTGTGTGTCTCTTATCGAGTGTGTGTCTCGTGTAGCGAGTCTAGTCCCTACGGAGTGGATCGAGTTGACAGCCGGGCAGCGAGGGCCGACTGGGTCGTCGAGTGCACCGCAAGTCTCATAGTATATCGCGGTTAGTGCATCGTTGAGAGAGCGTGTTGAGCTCCGCGAACTAAACCAAAGTCGGAGCTGCTCGTGTGGTCGAGTGAATCGCGAGTTGTAGCGTGGAGAGTCTCGAGAGTACGTGAAATTCCGAGAACGACCGAGCAGAGTCGGGAGCTTTGCAGTGAAGCTGTTTCCACCGTTATTGCCTGACAGTGTGAAGGCTGTGTCACTCATTGTTCCAGCGTGTTTAGAGTAGATCTTCGACGACTGTAAAAAGTGTTATTGGAGCTGTCCCGACAATATTGGCTAAATAAAGTGTGTTTCGATACTTCATCAAGTGTCGTCGTTATTCACTCCAAATCTACGAACCCCATACGAAGGTGAAGGAGGAAAATAACGTAACAATATTTATCGAAATGTGATCAGGAGTTTTTAATGCCATTACAGGAAGTAGCTCGTTTTTAGCATTTTGGAGAAGCACCAATCAATAAGATTATAAAGTTTAATGATGCAATGCTAATGCTAAAAATTTCTCGGCGATTTGTTGCAGAGTCAGATATCTTAATTTATTTTTAATTTGGTGGTCTAGCAAAGGATGTTGAGAGGAAGATGATGAAGACGAGGATTTGTTTGTCGTTAAACAGCTAGAAAAAAGTAGATTTCAGTATTTTCAGATTGTGAAACGGACCATTTTCAACCATGAGACCATGGCACTGATATAAGTGAAGATACTGTGAAAGAAATTAAAATGAAAAATACAGTCATTGAAGAATCTTCTCTTGCTGATGAAAATGAAAGAAACGCAACAACGGAAAGTGAACTTTAATACCATAGCGGATGCTAAGCTGGTAGTGCGCGTCATTAATAAGTTATTTTATTTTATTTTTTATTTATGTATTTATTTTGAAATAAGTGTTGTAAACACACAGAATCAAAAGTGATAGATCCTTTTCTATTTTTGGATCAAAACGTAGATAAAATTTTCCTGCAATCTGCTTCCTCCCAGCAGAAGTTTATAGCTTATTTTTATTCTTAGAAATAAATTAAAAGTTAAAGGTACATTCATGAATATTTATATTGAGCATTTTTAGTCTTTATTGATAAAATAATCATACATACTTATAAATCAGTATTTTACAGAGAGATGTATAATTCACGGGAAAAACCAAGACTATAATATTTATGTTGTGTAATTTAGCTTGTAAAATTATTAACATAGAACCAAACTAGAAAAGAGCAAACACAAAATTTAACAATTTTACATAATACCATTCGTAATGAAATCTTAATATTACTTTCCTAAAATTAGATTTATTACACACTTCTTTTGATAGGCATAAAAAAATTAATCGGTATACTTTATCATTTATTTAGTTATTTGCCTTCATTAGTCAATTTTTCCACTTTTTAGTGAGATAATTCATTTTTGTCTCGACGCTAGTGACTATCGGATATAGCGAATCAAACTTTAGGTCTGTCGAAGTTCATTATAATGGGGTTCCAACTGTAAACTGAATATTTATGACTGCATAAAGGAATTAAAGGTCCATTAAAAAAGTAAATTTTACAAATTATATGCTTTACGAAACTAACAATTTTATAAAAAATTCGAAGTTAAAAAATTAAGAATTTGAAATTTAGTTGAAATGTTTTTAAGATGAACGGTCAATCAATGTGTATAGATTATAGTATTACACGTGTCCGCATGTTACATTAGGGACTTAAATTTTAGGTACTGTTGAAGTTACTCTTGGGAAATTATTCGCTACTCCTAAAAGTGGCATACGGATGCATAAAGTGCGTAAGTAAAAGTCAAAATAGCTCTAAAAGTTTTTCTGAAAGAATTATATTAAAATGGAAGGTGAAAAAGTTTACCTTCCTGGCAGTACTGGTGTTAATGTAGCTCTCTCTCTGCTCCAACTGTCAAAATTTGCTCCGTTGCCATGGCTAATCCTTTCACTAAAATCAGAGAAAATAATTTGATGGTTTTCACAGATAGTGTCCCAAAAGAATGTTTCTTGATTCTGGGCTTTTTTATATTTGATAAATCTTTGGTAAATTAGGTTTTCATTATTATCAAGTACTTGATCTAAGAAACTATTCGTTGCATTTTCGGTGACATTAACCGTTAAAGCTAAATTTTCAGATGCAGGATTACTGTTCATCTCTTCGATTTCAACGACGTCTGAACTAACTGGACTTTGGATTACAGCAGGACAATGAATCAGTTCATTAAATTTGCAGTCCCGCTCCGTCTTTAATATAACTGAATTTTCTGCTTCATTCCCGTGAGCTGTATTTCTTGCTTCATCCCCATAACCTAATTCAAGTTCATCAGAGTTATTTTTTAAAGATTCTGTTTCCGGTTGATAGGAAGGCAGTGTGGACAATGGACAGTAAATCGCTTCGTGAAATGTAGGGTTCATTTGCGAGTTCGTTGTAATCGGTTTTCTTGCTTCATTCTCTTGAATTAAGTTCACTTCATAGCTGTTACTTTTAAAAGATTCTGATTGTACATGATTGGAATCCTTCACATCTATCACACAGGGAAGATTAAGAAAACTAAAATTACTTGCTGAGTCTGAGACCTCACTTTCACTTTCCTCCCAATTCCATGAAGTAGAGAAAGAATTGCTTCCTTGATGTGTATTTGAGAGGATATTTTCATTAAAGTCGTTTTCTGTTGAAGGGAAGACACAAATTACTAATTAATTATAATATGTTAAAGGTAAAGTATTTGTTAGCTAAAAAAGAAACCAAAATAATTATTTACTGTTTTGATTTCCGTAAAGGGGAAAATGGAGAAAAAATTCCTTTGGTTATAAACTAAACGCTTTTATGTCTGTTTCATCTTGGAAAATGAGGGAAAGTTACCGAAGCGCTCCAGGGATCGGCTAGACGAAATCACTGTGAAGTAATTTCTTCGCCCTAAACTCGATTGCTGATAAAAGAATGGCTTCTTTAAGAACGTTTCCATTGCTTTATAATATGAAAAATTAATACAAATTTCTTTGCCTTATGTCTTCAACAAAAACATCTAGAATTACAGTATCTTGTGCCATTTCTGAGACTGAAACTTTTCCGATCATTTGTGACTATTGAGGTTATTACCGTATCAATTCGAATTCAAGCCGCAACAAGATTTGAAAATTGACAAATTGGAAACAAATAATAAAAATTAGCCTCCCTCGAATTTAATTCTATTCAGATTTTCAAATTAGGGAACTGAAAAAATTGATAAAAATAAAAATGATTCTACATTAGATATTTAAAAATGAGAAACAGCTTTATTTACTTGCGTATATGATATAAATATAGTAAGCTATCTGATTTATTGAGAATCTTGTTCGGGTATTCTACTGCTTTGGAGGTCTGTACTTTCAGAATTTGCATTCTCATCGTCATTGTAGCAGAGCACATCAACTCAGTCCCATTTAAATAGTTCGTTACATAACATCTTAAAAAAGTAATTTCTTCGAGGATTCCAATACTGCAAAACCCATTGAGCTATTATAGAAGATGATATTGTTTTATTTTACCAGTTTGTGTCAAAGAATATTTTCTCGACTATACCATGTTTAAGGGTTTATATTCTATCCCTAAAGTGTTTGTTGACAGTCACACCAATTGCATAAACAGTGAAGCAAAGACTCGATTATTGGAAAGTGGGAGATCAACAGAAATAATAATATGTTAAAATGTTCCTTTTGAATTTTAACTGCACGCTAATTTTACGTCTTAAAAATATGAAGGAAAAGTACGCCTCTTATTTGAAGTAATACGGTAATTATTATAGAATAAAGGAAGCATAATCAATTCGAATTTTCAGTGGTAACAGTTGATCCCGCAGTTGCGTAGCAGATCTTAATCTTCGAAAAGGGAGGACGGGAGAAAAAGAATGAGAAAAGTTTTCTTCAGGCAAGTGTACCATTTAATGAGATATCTGCCGAACCGAAGAAAAGAAGCCAATAAAAGTATTTGCCCTTTCAGGATAAAGAAGATTCATAAATATCTAAAAGTCTAATATGAATCACACCACAATACCAATATACAACAAAAAGATTTGCCTAATAGGAACGCTATAGTTACACGCACCTAGAAACTGTGCATGATGTAAAAAGCAATAAAAGTAGAGAGGGTGTTAACACATTTTTAGAAGGATTTCGATAAAGAATTAAAAAAGAAAACAGCAGATTTTTTTAATAAAACATTCTGGCAATTATTTATAATTTGAAATTAGAAATACATCGAAATCTACTATTTTTAAATTTATTCTTGTTTCAAAATGTCGCGTGTAAACAAACAAGCTGTGGATTGTAGGACACGATTTTGCGCTTTCGGAAGAGAAACATTCCTATTCCATAACTCGAAAGCGTAGTGAAATGTCTAGCGCTAAAATTTCTAAGTGCAAATAAACAATATTATATTAATCGGAAAGGGAGAACCGTCAGTCATTAACTCTACATTAAAAGAAGACTTCAAACGAATATCCGAAAAAGGTACGTGATGTTTCGAAAGTCAAATCGTTTGTAACTGGAGAATCCTCCGACGCAGAAATCAATTGCAAAATCTTTAAATACATCTGCAGCAGTAATAAATAAAATAATAAATCAATATTTACAACTTATAAAAGCTAAAAATTATAATGTTCGCCTGCTTTTGCCGAGGCACATATGGCTCAACGCAGAACAATGCGTAGAACCATGTTTGAAAACTAACAGAAGATAAATGGAAATACATTGTGGCCCTCATATGCACCTTCCAGTAATTTCGAGAAGCAGAGAGTACTAAAAATACATCTGCTCTCAGTTGTTGTTGTGACTTGACTGGATTTTACGAAAACCTTTTCTATCATGGAAATGACGGAATTTCTATGATGTAAGTGAGCTACGCCAAACGAGGCTTAAGACTTCAAGCTATTCTTTGAACTCAAGTTTACTGAATTCAAGATACTACCCTTTCCGCTTAAAGGCAGAGAGAGTATAACCTACCTTCGAAAACATTCCCGAGAAAAACCGCTAAGAATGCGTTCTAGAATATTCTTGTTCCGTCTATGGCATATCGCTAATTTTGTTGCCGAATGAGCGATTTCGCACCAAATCTGGCAACCTTCCCTTTCCCTGTTCCTTTCTGGCAACCCAAACCCAGTTTTGCGGCGCAGCTATCTTACCGCAGTTGGGCATTTCGGAACAGTATTAAAGAACTTACAGCTGCTTACAGCTAACAGCAATATTTTAATTCGAATTTTTCTTCATTATAATTTAATATACATAATTTCCTCTTTTTGTTACATAATTCATATTACTAAACGATCTCTAGGTTTAAAAAATAGCTAGAAATTTTAAATTTTCTGAAATTTTTAAAACTAAGCTACAGTTACATAAACTCTATATTATGATCGTAAATTATGCCAATTAGCCAAAATAGATTATATATCCATAATCCTTTCAACCATCTTAATCGAATTTAAGTGGGAAAATTGATTCTTTTTTTAATATAATAATATAAGAAGAAATATAATAAGAAAGACAAGCGAAGATAACAAATGGTAACGGTAGTAAACGTTTTAACATTTGCATGAAAACTGCTGAAAAAAACAGAACTATTTAAAATTTTTCTGCACAACGAGAAAATTTGAAGAGAAAATAACAAGCAATTTCTCTGTTATTAATTGAGTTGGTTGTTTTTATCAGGTGCTGCTATCAACGCTTCGGCCGTTTCAGAATTTGATGTATAACCTTCCTCAAAATTTTTTAAATTTCTGTTCCAAAGGTAAATTATTAAAAGAAAACATATGCAAAAATATAAAATAAATTTCAAAAAAAGAAAAGAAGCTGCGATTACAGTACAAATTAGTATCATTCTGTCAATATCAAAAAGAAAGATCAGCGACATTATATTATATGTTAAGTCAATATGACTATTAAGAATACGGTACTCTTCTTTATCGGGACCGGATTCGGATATCGTCAAACGTTTTACAATAATGTCAAATTCAAGTCTTGTGTGGACACGCTAATTCTTTCTTCCTACTATACTTTTATTTAAATTGTAATAATCTTTTATTATTGTATAAAGGATGCTTTAGATCTCAGTTATTGCTATGAGTTCGGTCTCATAAACAAAAAAATATCAAAAATGCCAATGAATGATACACAAGATAATTCTAAAATTATCTGTCCAAAATGTAGAGTTATGGAATGGTAAGGCAGAAATCGCGTGTATATGGTAAATAAGAAAAACAGTTTAAGTGAAAAGGAGCAAATATATTAATGATTCAGCTTTTCTCGATGGTTATTCAAAATTGCGACTATCAACAATAATACAATTAATTCTCTCATACCTTCCAGTGACCAGTAATACACTGAACTTTTAACATTTCGTCATGTGTCTCTTGGGGAATTGTTCTCTTTCTGTATATCCTATGAGCAGTAGCTCCGTTTCATCTATAGCTCCCTAGGCATATAAGTATTCTGTACCGCGGCACGCGCATAAGGAAAACTCCATACTTGCCGATTGGGCATACCTTCCGAAGACATCATTTTCGCTTGACGTAATGACGTTTAGAAGAGATTCTTACGGTCTTGTTTTAGATGAGTCACACGGAAGCGTGAAGAAAATTATACTTTGTTTTCTTTGATACGAAAACATTTAGCTGTAACGTTCTGCAGATGGCTTCTTGCTTCATGAATCATAAAATTATAAAATCCTAAAATTATAAAAGCTTTCAAAGGTGCTGTTAATATCAAAAGCAATCTTAAGCACTTAGATTATATAACTAGTCGAGTTCATGAATTTAGTGCAAAAACTAAAACACCACGATCTCGATCCAACTATAAAGGCATTGTGCGCTAGTAAGTATATTATTATTGTTGCAATTTTATTGAATTCTGTTCCTTTCACATTGCAGAAAATATTTCCTTTGCAAATGCTATGTTAATTCCATGCTAATTCCCATGTCATTTCTAATATTCTGTTGCCTTAAATGAAAGAAAAAAATTCAGTATTGTCACTGAATTTAATACACGTGTATAAGAAAAGAAACTTCCTTCTCTGACAAACGCTATTTTAATGCAAAGGTACAAAAGATGTTAACCATTAAAAATGGGTAATATTTATAATGTAATATTACTCAATTTAAAATACATATCTCTATTTCTCTGTTCCAATTCTATATTATTCTAAATTCAAAAATAAATTTTACTTTTTCAGACAGATTATAAATATTGTGAAATTGTGTACTATGTTAGCTTCCAACGTCGTTTTTACTATTTCCGAAAACTGACTTGTCTCATGTTTTCGAAGGTTGCATCTGCAGAGAATAGATATATAATGAACATTAAATAATAAATTAATAATCACAACACTTTTAACGTGAAGGGGTTTAAGTTAAGAATACATTTATTAAAAATTTCTGCATTTAATATTAATACACATTTACGGAATTAGCACAAAAAGAAATAATATCTTTCCTCTCCAGGGAAAAAAAGAACACTGCATTTTTTTATATTAAATTCGTCACACTACAGTGTTGTAAGAAGTGTAATCTCATAGCAACAAAAATACAACGCACGTAATCATTTTTCGGGATTGCTATCGAAATGTAAACAAACGGTATAGAAGATGTACCCTCAAACCCAACGCGTTCCTTAGAGTAGAGGAAATGAAGTCATCGGAAGCCATATCCAATTACGAGGATGGATTTTTCCTTATGGGCGTGGCGCCGTACATAATGCTTATATGCTTCCCGTAGATAACATGCATGTCGGTGAGTTTTGACTGTCGTACGTGTAAGACGTACATCTGCTCGTCCGATTTGTGCTATTGGACTCTTTTTATACCTGATCAGCGTGATGCCGCTCGTAACGTATGCCGGCATTGCAAGACTTGTTGCTTCCCGTTGTATATTCTCTGCCATCCGCTCCACCATGGATCGAATGATTGATTTTATTGCCGCTGAGATCCAACTTAGAATCGTCGATGAATCTGATGGATCTCTCTCATCTAAAGAAGCACGAGACCTTAAATTCTTCGTCGTCTCAACTTCCATCGACATAGAATTGAATGCTGATCGTTTCTAATCTTTCCAAACCAAACAGCCCTGTTCCTAGGTTAATGACAACGACGTCAATACTGGATAACAAAACTATCCAGACGAGCAGCGCCTGCGGCTCATATAAGAGCAGTCGAAAAATTAAAGCATTGGATGAGAAGCTCTGATCTGACTCAGGTTCTAAAGAAGATATTACTAGAAGACAAGAAAACCTCTCGAAAGCTACCTGCGGATACTCTGATTCGACAGCTGAGCCGACACGGAAAACACTCTGATATATGGATACTCCCCAAAGTACAGGTCGCAGTCGGTACCGAAACGCCAAAAAATAACGTCAGGGACACTTTCTCCCGTCCGAAACCAATGTGACGCTACACGCCAATCTAGCACAGGATCAAGAGGCAATTACGGAGTTCATAGGCAATGACCCTTTACCTCCACTCTTCGAAGAAATTTACATCATCAAAAGAGGGCATTGTCAAATAGGGTAAAAATTTTGAGAAGCCGATGACTTGGAATAAGTGCCTACACTGAGTCAAAAAAGGCAAAAACTCAGGTCTTAATTTGTGCCGAAAAAGGGCCAAAAAATTAGATAGGGGCAGTCATAATAAATTTTGACTTATAAATAAAGGGAAGTTTCCTTGCCTTGATATCGTGTTTTGCATACATCAGAGGCGAAGAATACGCAGGGAGAGCAATTGTATCCGCTACGCGTTCTTCAGAGGTGGGAACTCTGTTAGTATGCTGTAAACGACCTGCTTTACCCTGTGCTTTTAAGCATGACTTTCTGCATTTCAATACTTATCAACGGCATCATGGAACGTTTCCTGGACTTCATTGCAGCGAGATTAGTCGCTGGAACCGTCAAAAAGACAAAGGTTCCTTACCCTGAAGAAACAAGAGACCTGAATTTGTCAAAAAATTCCGAGCTCTTTGACCAGGAATTTGGAACTCCAGACACAGGACGACGTGCTGAGACCAAAACTGATGACAACCCTGGCTTCCCGCCTCTCCCAAAGATCAACGCTCGACGTGCTGAGAGTCCCGCCAGGTCGGATGAGGACTTTACAAAATACAAGGCTTTAGATGTCAGCTCGACTCCGATGGAGAACCAAAGGAGACAGAACCAGACGCACAGAAAACCTGCGAAAAAGCTGTTGCACCCTGGCTGCGCACTGCTCCGAAATTCCAAGACTCACCCTGTTGCTGATCTCACTCCGCAACAGAATATGGACACAGACCCCCCCCCCCAGTGCAGACACCTCCAACCAATCAGAACGCTCCGTTCAACAGTGCGAGAAAACTGCCGCCGATTATAATCAAAGACAGCAGATTCACATGAATGACTAAAAACGCTGTTTAATAATAAGAATTTTTTCTCTGCACGATTTCTATGGAGAAAACATGAAGACGGAATCGAGATTAAAATGAAACTGCCCACCATTTATCGGAAATGTAAAAGTGCTAGAAGAAGAAGGAATCAGGTATCACTGCTATGCGCTTCCCGAAATCTAAACATATAAAAAGCTGTGATACGTAACCTCCGTCTTACATGGACCTGAGGAAATTATGATGGATCTAAAAGAACATGGACTCGACGTCGTGCGGGTCAACCAATCACTATCAGGCGTAACGGAGAGTTATTAAGCTTCCCCTGTTTCTCGTTACTCTCACCCGCAAGGAGAAAAAAGGAGATACCAGTTAAAATTTGTGCTGGGATGAAGATTAGTGTTGAGAGATACCGTGCCGTAAGGGATCCTTGCAGTGTTATCGCTGTCAAGGGTTCCATCCGCCCAATCGCACTGCAATCACGAACCAGTTGTGTCGTTGCGGTGAACCTCATGAATGATTTAACTGTGACAAGGAAAGGCAACTCCGCCTAAATGTGCCAATTGTCAGAGATAGGTCATGCAGCTAACTACAGATTATGTGTGCGTTTTCCAAAACAAAAACCACTCCGGCTGTGAAAACGTTCTCTGATCGGGTAGTGCAATAAAACTATGCACAAGCTTTAAACACCGGCCTCGCTCCTGAATTTCTAACTGAAGCAAAACAAGTGCAGCTGAGCTCGTATGCTTGTCTCTGCTCTAAAAGAAAGGATTTCTCTGATGCAAAATCAAGATCTCAAGATCTTCTGCAGCCCTATTAATGGCTAATTACATGAAAAACTGTATCCCGTAAATAATGATATGGAATTCCGGGCTTCCATATCATTATTGTACGGGTTTCCTTTGCTGAAAAGAACCCACTGGACATGGACAGTTCGCTGATGGAAATACACGAAATTAAGAAATCTCCGGAAAACTAGGCGACGCACGGGAAAGCCGACCGGCTATAAACACAAAAGTAACATTGTGAATCTGTTCCTAGGAAGAGAAATTTGAATCCTGCGTCAGGAAGAAGAACCACGCGATTTTCCCATACGACATTGCCTTTCATCAAAATAGGGTGATTCCTAAGACTTAACACCAGGTGGAGTCTGCAGGTTCCTGCCATGTTGTTTGGTTTTTGAAGTGTGATTCTTAAATTGCTTATTTTACAGTGTGTTTTGATTTTTACTTGGTGAAAGTGCTCTTACATGATTGCTTACGAGTTCCGGTTTATGGAAAAGTGCTACTTTGTGCATGATGTTGGATTTCTACAAGGTTTGAAGAAGTTTAAAATTTCAAGTCCACGTAGCAGCTCATTTGCATACGGAGTGCTGTTTTCGGTCACTTTGGTATTAAAAGTCCGTGCAAATGGTATTTTTTTACCGTGCTTTTGATCTAAATGCTTGATTTTATGCTTGTACAAGTTTATGTTAAATTCTGGCTGCTATTTTAAAACTTTTGGATACTCTTAGTTACATGTTTCGAAGATAGGCTTAGCGTGGCTGCCAAGTGTTTATATTTTTGGATCTTTTGTTTTGCACTTGTAATTTTAGACCTTTTGCCAGGTGATTAAAAATTTTTGAATTATCTTATTACTAGAAGTAACTGCCCAACATTTGATGTTTCGAAGTATTGAGGAATTGTTTTAAGAAGTCTCATTGCAAGTTATTTGAATTATATTTAAAAAAAAAAAGAAAAATTTGGTGCTCCATCAACTGAAGACTTTTTGCCCGCTGAAGAAGAGGTGAACCAATTTTGGTGCACCAAAATCTAAACTTTCCTGCCCGTTGGGTAACTTTTTGAATTCTTGCGCTGAAACTCTACTTTTTGCTTTAAAAATTATATTATCATTTATGCTGTAGGATTTTACTGTCTGTTTGAGTGTTTTGTATTATAGAAAGTTTTTATTCAGTTTTAAGATATTGAATTCATGAAATTTTGATTTTATAATATAGTCCCCTTATCGTAGTGCTTTACCAAGATTTAAGAAGTGTAAAATATGTCTCTATTAACGAAAAAAGATAGTCTTAGTCAAAGTTATAGAGAACCTGAACAAGATGTTTGGAAAGTCCGATATTTTAGGAGTAATTCAGGGTCTTTTCGACACTATTGAAACTAT